ATCGGGGTCATGGTAGCAAATACAAACCTGGATGTTCCAAGCCACACATGAGTAATCTTTTGGGGATTTTAGAGTGTTTTTTAATTAGCTCAAACATTGTTAGACACTGAGTGAGTCACTCATGGCCAAGAATAGAGGTGAGATGTGAGTTTAAGGTATGTGAGTGGTTGTAAGTTTCAGACAAACCTGAAAATGATATTCCAGTGCATCAAGGGTATAGGTTTGAAACTGAAACCAGAAAAAGTGTGTACTAATCCCTTCCAGATTTTTTCCTTCTCAAGTTGGGAATATTTAACCAAATCACATCAAATGTAATACAAACGTATTAAATATAATCTAGTTTCGGCTTTAAAATATCTTATAATCTAATTTAGTATTTCTATCATTTGTTAGATTGGAAATTTCCAAAACAGGCAGCTGCAGTCCATTAAAGTTCTCAGACCTATTATGAAATCCATAGCTTTATAGGATTTACATCACATACAGTTATTAAACAGTTGGTCCACTGTACAATATTGAATAATGAATTCGACGAAATGTCATACATAACATTATTCACATTCCTAAATTAATTTAGGTTACTATATGGTGAAGTAATATGGACTCCAAACCACATAGACATTATTGATTGTTTGTAGTCAATTTCTCCAAGATGACCATACCGCCGTGTGCGTTGATTAATGCTTTTATGCACTTTGTGTGATGAGAGGAATGTGAAAAAAAAGCAATCAGTTCATTAAAGGTGAGCTTTGATCAAAGTGGTGGTTCACGAGTTTTCTTATAAGGATTGTCCGTTAATCCCTGATACTGATTCTTGTGATAGTCGATGTGGAGTGCAAGTTGTTTACTAACTAGTTGTGGAGTGCAAGCTGTTTACTAACTGGATGTAGAGTGCAAACTGTTTACTAACTGGTCATGAATGACAATTCTGTACAGCATTGAAAAAGCTATGTGAAATTGTAATATTTTCCAAACATTATTACCATTAATTGTATAGTTAAGAGTTCACCATTTGAGTGAACTATACATCAGTGAAATTGCTGACGAACTTTAAAAATTCATAAGATATGGCTGTATTTGTATAATGATGCTGCAAGAGTACAGTTCGATTATACAACACTGCCAGAGTCAGAAGCATGGAAACAGAAACTGATTATCTTAAACGAAACCTTATGTGAAGATGTTAACAACTGAAACTGTGAAGATAAATAATTTGAAAAACTGGAATAGATTACGTTCGTACTATTGTCGTTTGGTAAAACCTTTTTCTGACATAATTCGTCTTCTACACAAGGTACTCTATAAACCAAATAATGATTTAACTAGTGGTTGTGGGCAAGCATTTAATAAGTTGAGAAACAAATGAAACACTAATCCTGGATTAGCATACCTAACTTTTGAAAATCCACTCATTTTAGATAAAGATGCTAGTGATTTCACAGTAGAAGCAGTGTTATCACAAATATAGCATAGAAAAAACGTATTATTACATTCTGTAGTAAGACAATGAATGCTGCAGAAAAAGTATATCATACAACCCAGAAAAGGCTATTAAGTGTTATTTAAACCCTAACTCATTTTTATCATTATCGTTATGAACAAAAGTTTACATTCTAGACAGATCATGCAGCATTGAAGTGGCTTGGGAATTTTTGAAATCCAGGACTCAAATAGCAAGATGGCTCAAAAACTACAGGTGTACGACTTGAACATCATGCATTGTCCTGGATAGAATCATGGAAATGCAAATGCATTATCTCAAAGATCGTGTATTAATGAATAATGTGAAAAAAGGGAAGCGCAAGAAATTAAAAACGACAAATAGTATGTACAAGAGTGTAAAATCGAATACGAGACACCCACAAGTGACGATATAGAAGTAAAGAGGCACACACACACAAGTGACAAAATAAAAGTAAAGAGACACCCACTGGTGACAATATAGAAGTAAAGAGTCACCCACAAGTGACAATATAGAAGTAAAGAGTCACCAACAAGTGACAATATAGATGTAAAGAGACACCCACAAGTGACGATATAGAAGTAAAGAGGCACCCACAAGTGACAATATACAAGTAAAGAGACACCCACAAGTGACGATATAGAAGTAAAGTAGCCCAACACTTAGCTCAGGAAAAATAAACGAGTTTGAAAATTATTCAGTGGTTCAAAAATAGTGCAGAAAAACCCTCATAGTAAACAGTCACTCCATACAGCCCGAAGTCAAATATACTAGGCACAGTGGGATTCATTCATACAAGAGGGATTGTTATATCAGAAATAAGATACCATGGAAAGAAACAATGACATTCCGAAACAATTCGTCGTCTCCACAAACTTTGTTGATTCTTATTTACTGTGTCAATAAATTGCATTTCCCTTATTCTTAACCCTGATTTACTGTGTGCCATTAAGTTGTTTCCTGTATTCTTGATTCTCAATGTGTGCTGTTAAGTTATGTTCCCCTTATTATTGATCCTTACTTACTATGTGTCATTAAACTATGTTTGCTTTATTTACTGTGTCAATAAATTGCATTTCCCTTATCCTTAACCCTGATTTATTGTGTGTCATTAAGCTATGCTGTGTTCCCATATTTTTAACACTTATTTAGTGTGTGACATTAAGTTGTTTCCCTTATTCTTGATTCTCAATGTGTGTTATTAAGTTATGCTCCCCTTATTCTTGATCCCTACTTACTATGTGTCATTAAACTATGTTTGCTTTATTTAGTGTGTGTCATTAAGTTGTGTTTCCCTTATTCTTGCCCCCCCCCCCAGTGCACAGCGGTATGTCTGCGGACTTACAACGCTAGAAACCGAGTTCTGATACTCGTGGTGGCCAAAGCACAGATAGCCCATTGTGTAGCTTTGTGCATAACTACAAACAAACAAACCCTTATTTTTGATCCTTATTAACTATGTTATTAAGTTGTGTTTCCCTAGTTCTTGATCCTTATTTACTGTGTTATTAAGTTGTGTTCCCCCATTAAGATGTGTTTCTCTTATTCTTGATCCTTATTTGTAGTTCCTCGTTTTTTCCTTAACTTTCTATTGTCTGCAACAACACACTTCATTGAAACCTGACTAAAATATATATGTCATGAATGTGTAAGTATCTTAAAACTCCCGAGAAAGCGTTTGTCCCTCTCTGCTGTGTGGATATATTTCCTTTGTTAATAAGATGTTAATTTGAGGTTCAGAAAGAAAATCCATAATATTTGGTAGCTGTAAACTTGGACATATCATGTTTGTTAATGGTATTATTTGTGCTACCATACATAATATCTGGTCAATACAACAATATTATACTGTATAATATTTTGTCTGTTTAGCAGTGAGACCAGTACAGTCGTGTATCAAGTTTATTGTTTTAGCTAAATGAAAGGAAACTACTACAGCTTCTAGTTTTGTCTTACCGCTATGTTTCTTCTACACTATCTGGATTAATATTTTAAAGCAGTGAAATGACACTGTAGGTTTTACTAAGAGTTTTAAAAATACCTATTTGTATCATAAATCCATAATTACTTCAAATACTTTATGTGTGTGTGTGTGTGTATTCACCACTTGCATGGATAACATGCTCTTTCTTATGTGTATTTTGCCTGTTTCATTACTCAGTGTAAAGAACTGACCAAAAAAAAAGGGTGAAATCGCTCATTTTCAATGTAAAATGTATAGAACATTCCAGCAGTAATTAGTGGGATGAATTGCAATAAAGATTTTTTTTTCTTCATTGAGACTCATATGTTATTAGAAACACTAAGTAACCAAGAAAGTCATGGACCTAGAGTGAATTTGGGGCATAATTAGTTTAGAAAAATGCGTTTAAAAACCCGATGGGGTCCATCAGGTTAAAGTGTATTTGCTCGTGATCTCGAGTTGTTTCTTTCTCTGATAACCATTACGTTTACAAAAACTTTTATACCCAAACGGCAAGATTTTCAATATACATAAGAAACATTTAATTTTTCGTATATGCAACAAAAAACAACAACAAAAAACTCAAATATTAATACATTAGAAACAGTTAATACTTCAGTGATACATTAAAACAGATAATAATAATTTAAAAAAGAGCGTTTTTATTGGGTATGTAATAATAGATTCTTTTTGTTGATACAAGTGGAAAATTAAATGCTTCCAGTGGCCCAGCATGACCAGGTGGTTAGGGGGCGTTATAATGTGACGGTCAATCCCACTATTCGTTGGTAAAAGAGTAGCCCAACAGTTGGCGATGGTGGTGATGACTAGCTGCCTTCCTCTAGTTTTATACTGCTAAATTAGGGACGGCTAGCGCAGATAGCCCTCGTGTAGCTTTGCGCGAAATTCAAAACAAACAAACAAATGCTTCCATTACTGCCTATCTATTATAACGATAGCCATTCATTTAGATGTAATATATCACATTGAAAAAATCGAGATTAAGAATTAGCTAATTTCCTAACAAGACCTCTAAGTTTCAGTAACTTTCCGCAGATCATGGTATACAAAACACCTTATCCGGAGTCGACACGGACCGTATTTGATCAATACCAGAGAAACCAGCCACTGCTTAGACACACTAGAGCCGGCCCATCCTTGGGGAAACCGAAGGCAACGCTACTACTGACAGCCAATCACAACTCATATAAGTAGTACTGATAAATTGACCGAGACGCCTAACATGCGATCTAGGCATTGGGAGCAGTACTTTTTGCTTCTCCTTCGGTCAGCCCCCACAGACTCAAGCTTGACCCTCCCATTTATCCGTTGTGTGCAAAATAAAGATCAGAATTCTCACTGGTGAGAGTGGTGAATGAGTGTTGAGAAGAGGCCTTTTACACTTGACTGAAGTATTGCTACTCACATAACGTGACTCTGAGTTGTTCTTTGTGCTCTATATGGAACCATTTCTTCCTTGTTTCTGCTTTGGCTATACGAACTCGTAATGATTGTTCAGAATATGACTTTATAAGCTTCATCATATAGACTTCTCCGTGATTAATCGTTATGAAGATGTCTCTTAGTGCTAATTTTAAACCTAGTAGTAGTTTTACTGTAAAAGACATTTTAGACTTACCTGAAGTAAAACAGGCTTCCAGTCCGATTCATAGCATAGGTTCCGTGGCCTCTAATCTCGTTAGCTCGGCACCATTCATTATGAACACGTCTCTTTCAGAAGCTAACTTTTCCTGTCCCTCCTGTTTCCGCTACAATAGAATATGTGCGTACAGCCCGTGCGTTAGGTGGTTGTCAAGTGCTGAAGTAATGGCCTCATACACGTCCTTAGGTGAGTTTTATTAAAGTATACCTGTTTTATTATTCACACAGTCTACTACCCTCAGACATTTACTTAATCTATATCAATATTAAATCAAGCCTAGAACTGCTCGATATTGAGAAATATTATATATTATCTACTAATACATCCTTATCTTGTCACTATCATTCAATTCTCTCTTCTAATATCAAACATAGTAATATATAGTAATACTATATATTCTTATTCTGTTTCTATTCCAGTATTATGGTACCATACAATACAGTAATGTTTGTTGTCACACGTGTTATCTGGTCAATATTCCAGTATAATATAGTATCATTAGTGTAAATCTTACTTTACTAAATCATTATTTAAACTTTACTCTGTCAAATAGAATAATAGTATTATTACCACAGATCTTACCTCATCATTATTTAAACGTTGTACTGTCGAAATAGATTATTATCATTAATATGCATTTTGTTTATTTTTTTATTCTTTAACAATGTACTTACTTTGATGTTAGTGGCAGATAATGTAAGGAATTGTGACTCGAGTGTCATCTCCCACATTGGATGAACAGACTCTACTAAAATAAAATGGTGAGTAAGAAAACTGTGGTCATTGCAGAGCTTTATCAGGACAAGTTCTTCTCTCCAATTCTTGCGCATAGTAAACGACTAGTTTCAAATAGGAGGTTTTACCTGGAAAAGCTTGTTCCTCACCCCAAATCATCTGCCAACTGGAATGAAGTGAAGCCTTGCCTTAATGACAGGATTGAAGCCCAAATATGGGATAGGCAAGGCTGTTACGTCACCAGTGCAAGCCAATTTTGTCGCGGTTTCATAGAGCTCGTTCTCATGGTTCTTTTTGTTTTGTTCGTTTGTTTGGAATCAACCATAAAGCTAAACAATGGGCTATCTGTGCTCTGCCCACCAAGAATATCGAAACTCGGTTTCTAGCGTTGTAATTCCGCAGACATACAGCTGTGCCACTGGGGCCCCATGGTTCCTAAAATTGTCAAGAATCCATACAAACTCAATAAAGATGGATGATAACTGAAGCATTAACAAAAGATCCATATTACAGTTGAAATAAAATGAGGGCAAGATATATCTTGAACATATATCTGATCCCCCAAGAGGTAGAAGAGAAAAATTCAGAGAATGTTCTGAGTCTTTGTACTCTAGTTTTTAAACAGCCTAATGTCTGGAATAAAAGTCAGCTTCTGGTCAAAGAGAAGCTCCAAAACCATTGTCTCAACCATCAAAGGAATTTGTGCACCATCCAGATAAAGCTCAGTATCAGGGAAAAACCCCACGTGGCAAAAAATCATGTTAATGGTTTTAGTTGATGGAAACTTCAAATCATTTGCAGTGGTCCACTTAAGTAAGTGAGGGCAGTTTGGAACTGCTACTCAATATGCATTATATGTAACGACTAATACTAGTAATAGCAAACCTGAATTTCATCAACATAGAAGCTATTGGCAACTGTAGGAGAAATATTGTTGACGCTGTCATTGATTTTAATGCCGGATGTACAACAATCAAGCACAGTCTAGACCTACTCCAAATTTCTGTGTGAAGGATCAGTGTAATGTCGGGATAGTGGATTGGAATTACCTCTCAACTAAAGAAGTACATATAAAAATGGGTAATTGGCCATGCAACACATATAAATGGAGGTCCTGTAAAATGCTGAGCCCTGACATGGTGATATACGTTTTTTTAGATAAAAAAACATAAATAAAATCTTCTTACTTGAGGAACGTTTGCTGACTGACACACTGAGTGTTGGAGAGTAGGTTATTTGATTCAAGACAAACATTTCTATCTAAAAAAATTCAGAGAAAGATAGTCATAGCAATATATCTATAATTAGAAGGAGCTTTATGATCCTTCCCAAACTTAAAAAATGGGATGACAATAGCTTTATGCCATAAAATTTTAAAATCACCCTCCTGTCAAAACTAGCTAAAGCAACCAGAAGAAGATCAAGAGAGGCAGGAGAAAGATTGTACATCTTATTATATAGAATGTCATCTGATCCAACTGGCATATAGCCAGTCCGAATAAGAACAGTTTTAAGTTCCACCAGACTAAATGGTCGATTTCAATTATAGTCATATACAAAATCGGCCCAAAGAAAAATGGTGTTCTTTAAGCCCATATCTTGATGGCAATGAAGGCAGAAGATAAGCTGGATATGCTAGAATTGTGAATAAAGCTCTAGCCAAGGGTGTTAACAATACCCTGTAAATAAATAACCTCATGGCCATTGGGTTGCAAGATCAAAAAAGGACTGTAGGTATACTTTCTCTTCACCCTTGAAACCTTATCTCATACGCCATTGGAACTGGTGGTTGAATAAGTAATGGAAGTGAGTTGAATCCAATATTTTTTCTAACTTTGACATCTGACCTGCTGAGCATGAGCATAAGCCTGTTGAATTGATATGTTATTGGTAAGAGTGAGATACCTATGGAAGATATCTCACACTCTTTTTTTGAGTCCCATGTGACCACTGACAGTGACTTTTCACCATGGTCTAGGATACCATTAAAAACTTGTCGAGGTTTTAGGGATTGTGAGAACAACCGCTTTTATAAAAAAAATCAGTTATTCTCTTCATGCAGTCATTAAAAGAGGGTAAGTTAACAACAGCCGGAGCAAGCTCTGAGTGCGTGTTGAAGGAGGATCAGTTAGTATTTTCCAGCTTCTACCTTGGCACGCAAGTCAGATGGCATTCATTGTGGCCATCGCCCTCAGAATGATAGGAAATTATTATAGCCTCGGGATTACTGCCGTTGCCTACTTTTCAAGAAAATCAAAGAAGAAAAGTATGGAAATAAATTAATAGATCTATGGTAGAAAAGTCTGACTTGGGGCATTAAAGTCAGTTGACTCTCCAGGTCTAAAGAAAGAAAGGTTGTGATATAAGAACATATGCTCTGCAGATCTATCATCCTCCATCAATCAATATCTACATCATTCTAGAGAATATTTTGTAAATTAACGTCTTCCAGGGTGATGAGAAGAAACTGTAATCTCTTAATAAGATCATAAAGACCTGCCTGATTAACATACTTTCCTGGTGGCAAGTAAAGAAAATAAAGTGTGATGATACAACTTTTGGAGACATGGATGGCATTAGCCTCTGATGGTGTATTGAATGATACACCTCCTTGAATCCTTCAGTCACACAATCTGTGTTTTCTGTGCAATGAAAACTGCCAGACAATATAAGCAGATTTCATAAATACCTATTGTAGGTAGATTTACACACACGATGGTAAGAATCGATCAAGGCCTATCATCCAAAATCCTCGACAGCTACACTGTATCAGTGTGACCATTTTCACTTAGAATTTGTTAGGGATTAGGAAGGGAGCCTTCATCTTTTGATTCCTGACTGCTTTTTTATATATATATTTATAATAAGTGTAGCGCTCTCCATAGATCGTGTCCTCAATCAAAGTTCTCACCAGATGAACGTGATTTCAGTGAACTAAGACAGGACCTAATAATAGTCCTGCAACTTGGGGCCGATGGAATTGGACCAGATCATTCTCTGTTGTCAGTGATGGAATATATAGATGGGAGTGAATGTAGGCTTGTTTATGTGCTTGGAGAAGAGAAGTCATTTAACGTGGCTAGTGAAAGACTTTGTGTGTGGGGCGGAGAAACCTGTCTGCATTTCCACCTTCAAAGTGGAACAGAGTGCATCAGCCCAAGTTTGTGTTGGAAGAGGTGATACCTTCTTTCATGATAGTCTTTCACCGTTATACTCTTTCTTCGCCATCCATTTAGGGAAGAAATGAAAGTCTGTCGGGTGGGAATAAAAGCATTTAATACGATGTAGGTCTAACTGATATTTACAGCTATCACGGTCTTTGCCAAAGAACCAGATAATATGTCTTTGAATGTCCAAATGTTGGCATTAAAAACAACAGACAGGATTCGGAATATATAGCCTAACATTGCAGCTGAGATAGCCTGCCTTGAAAGAGACAGGTGGGTGTAATAATGTAAATGTAAATAATCAGAACTCTAGTACGCTGTAATATTGCATTCTCATAAGTGGAGATTTGGCTGACTGCAAAAACCAGCAGCAATCTCCAACTTGGGAATATTAACAAAAACTTTCTCTAAGAATACTTCTTTCAAGAAACTTAAAGTAGCACAGAGAGTAACATTCACAGGTATATTCCTAATAGAACTTGACATGAGGAGGAGTTTTCTATCTTGTGATCATTATATTTCGACCAACAGATCCTCAGATCTTAATTTCATAACTACCTTTGGAGAGCTGGCAAGCCCTCTAATTCCTTTTAAATGAAAAATGAAGACATTTAACTAAGAGATAGTTCTGACAATTAATACAGAATCAGAAAACAAGGTACAGGAAGTGCTGTAAATAGTAAATGTGTACTATCATTCTTCAATACTTTCATGATGTTAGGAAAACAAATAGGATCACAAATCAATTAAAAACAAAAATACGAAATCACATAACCTTGGGATCCGAATTTTATTTAGTCTTCAATATTATTTTTGATAATCCTTAAGCAAAATATAAATCATTCAGTACCCAATGAACCCACCCACATTGATTCCTAAAGGGGGACATGCTACACTGTTAAACTGGGAGAGTATCCAAATACAAGGGTTTCTTGGTCACTGTACCCAAACCCCAGTACCAAACATATTATACACAACACGTTAAGAACATCTAATAATGGCTCTCCGTTAGCCCTAGCCACAATTGACAATCGTGCTCGAATTGATAATCGTAATTACACACGTTACCCGACACCACCATTTCCACTATAACAAGATTCATGCAAAAGATGGTCAAGTTAACCCTAGACACATATCATCAAATACTTTCTTCGAGCTCTACATTGCATCTGAACATCGGCTTCCAAGACCACTTTTAATCAAACTTTAAGCAGAAAGTCTCGTTAGAACTACATAGAGCAACTTAAAAGATAATTTTTTCGAATGGATTTGCTGTGATTCAGT